CAGAGAGCAAGAATATATCAGATATTTCGCAGAGAAAGATAGATTGACTTACTGTCATGACGTGACTGGCTTAATGACAAAATTAGGCTTGATATACGTCGCTACTGAATGGCGTCTCTTCATCGATTCTTCTATGAGAAGTTTGAAGGCTGTCCTCCTTCACAATGGAAATAAATATGCTTCGATTCCACTCGCCCATTCAGTGTATCTAAAAGAATCTTACGAGAATATGCAGATAGTTCTTGAGAAAATTAAATATGAAGATTATAAGTGGCTCATATGTGGTGATTTGAAAGTAATAACTATACTTCTTGGACAGCAGTCGGTGTATACCAAATACCCAAGTTACATTTGTTTGTGGGATAGTAGAGCTACTACACGTCATTGGGAAGAATCTAAGTGGCCACTTCGCACGTCTCTGAAGCCAGGATCACACAATGTTCTAAAAAAACCCTTGTGTGATCCAAAAAAAATACTTTTACCTCCCCTCCACATAAAATTAGAATTGATTAAGCGATTCATCAAAGCCCTTTATCAGAATGGAAAATACTTCCACTACTTATTGGATAAAATCCCAGGATTATCTAATGCAAAAATAAAGGAAGGTATTTTCACAGGTCCGGATATAAGAAAGATGATGAAATCGGCTGATTTTCAACAAACGATGACAAGAAAAAAGAACGCTGCATGGGTGAATTTTGCAGCGGTTGTAGAAGGATTTTTGGGAAATAGAAAAGTAGAAAATTATCACGTAGTCGTTCAAAATATGGTTACCAGTTTCAAAGAGTTGGGTTGTAACATGAGTTTAAAAGTACACTTCCTGAATTTTCATTTAGATTCTTTTCCTGAGAATCATGGAGCCGTAAGTGAGGAGCAAGAAGAAAGATTCCACTAAGACATCCAAGAGTTGGAAAGAAGGTATCAAGGTAGATGGAATGTTAATATGTTAGCTGACTACTGCTGGGCTCTTAAACGGGAAGATGATGGTCTACAGCATAAGAGAAAGTCAGAAACCAGAAGCCTAGACGAAAAAAGGAAACGATTCCACAAATCAGAAAATTGATAACATTGAAGCATCTGACATAATGTGGTTAATAGCATTGCTATTGGGTAATTAGGGGGTTGCTAGCTTTCTCATTGCGTTATTAGGGGCTTATTAGCTTAGTTTATATTCGAGGGTTATTAGGGGGGAAGTATATAGGGGGGGGGCTATTAGGGGGTTGATAGGATTTCCATTGAGTCATTAGGGGCATTGTAGCATTGCCATTACGCTATAAAGGGAATCATAGAACCGTTTATATTATGGGGGTTATTAGGGGGTTACTAGGGAGGTGATAGCACTATCATTGCGTCATCAGGGGGTTATTAGCGTAGTTCTTATTAAGGGGTTATTATGGGGGTGAGTTATTAAGGGGTTGATAGGATTACCATTGAGTTTTTAGGGGGTTCATAGCATAGTTTATATTAGGGGGTTATTAGAGGTTTATGAGGGGGTTGATAGCACTGTCATTACGTTATTGGGGGTTTATAGCATCGTAATTGTGTTATTAGGGGGTTTATAGCATAGTTTATATTAGGGGGGTTATTAGAGGGTTATTAGGGGGTTGCTAACATTGCCATAGAAATGTTATGGGGTTATTGGTCACATCAACCTTAAATTCGGGTTCATTGAATGCATTTTATGGATTTTACCTTGACCAGGTCAAACGCACCCCAGATTCGAATTCAGCGACCTCCAAAAACCAAAGAAACAGTACCTGGACCAATATTAATGGGATAATCTTGATTTGACTTTGATCTGAATTTGACCCCTGAGCTAATCGGGTAAAATGAATCATGGATTCGGATTCAGCGACCCCAAAAACATAAATGTAATGGTATTACCTTTTGCACTTTTGTTCACATATGACTTTTTTTCGTGGGGCTGTCATATTTGTATTGTTGGTACTGTTGTTATGAAATCGTTAAAGTGGTGAACTTCATTCGATGATATCTCCGCGAAAAAAATGATTTGTTAAATTTGAAAAATGCGTTGGAATGGGCAGAAGCAATATTTTTAGATGGTCTGATTAATTTTCAGTAAAAAAAAATTTTTTGCGGTGTAATATAGCTTCTAAAACAGCATAAATACGTGCTTTTCGCACTTTTACGTTAGAATATCTCGAAAATGTGACGTGATAGAGCATTTTTGATGCCAGGTTCGAGTTCAGCGCATCAAAAACCTTCGGAATGTGTTGCTCATGTTCGTGCGATATAAATCATTTTGACCTGTGTAATTGTTCGCCTACGTGAGAGATTGAAGTTGTCTACTTTTTGTTTTGATAGTCGGCCAGATTTTGTTACATATATCCCGCCTCTATCACTCATACGTATATGTGGGGTTCAAATAATTAAATGACGAACATTTAATTATCCACTTAGTTAGACGCCAATGTATTTCTAGTTTATCAAAGTACAGGTGCGGATAATGGAGAAAAATCACAAACGAATCAACTGTCCGGCATAAGTGGATAGAAGGGGTGGGATATGCAACACCTCAGGCAACACAAATCACCAAATCAATCACTATTGTATTATTATCCTACATTTATTGTACAGGAGTTTGTTTACCTCGCATCGCCGCGTCAATGCCACCATCTCTATTTCCTCAATTTGACCACGCGTCTTCTCTCGGATCGCGAACATACGAGTACATTCGATTATCACATTTGCGTAAATCGACAAATTAGACAATTATATTTCTTACACCGCTAATTTTTCCCGTGCTGCCATTTCATTTACGGAACGCAAGGGATATAATATCTCCGAAAATCACCTCCTTACAAATAAGGGAAAAACTCGTCCGCTCAAGTAACAGTAAATATAAATAGTATAATCGCCGTGATGGGGGAGATCCGGCGCGATTTGTGCGAGTGGTTTCTTACATATTGGTACTGATATAATGGCTGATATCTTGATCGTTTGGGCCCGCTTGTCGGATTTTCTAGGACGGTTCGTGGCGGCTGAATCTTGGGAAATGTCCGCGATGAACTCGTGGTCCCTCTCGTTAAAAGAGTAGTTTCCTGGCAGCGGCGTTGTGGTTGACACCAACGTTGAGCGCCGTAGAGTGGATCCCGGAGGAGCCGGAGAGAGTGCTGGGTGTAGAGATGGTGTACCTCCGACGAGCGCCGATCAAAAGAGACCGAGTCGTCGGCGAAATCGTGCATCCAGCAGCAACGACGACGATTCTTCGAGCGTCACGTTCGATTGAACACGACGGTTGATGAGCGCTACGAGCGGGATCGCACGTTTGCGCGCTCGATTCAAAAGTACATGTTATAATATAATCATCAACTTTCGTTCAAAACTTTCTTAATTCTTTTAACATAAAGTTGAGTGTATTCAACGATTAAACATACAAAAAAAACAGATATATATATTTTATAATGATATAGCCGCATCTTTATTAATAATTATTATGCAAGAACGTCATACAAATAAACATATTATGACTTTCGATCTACCCGTTTATTAGAACTAAATTAACTAATAAAAAAGACGAAAACGACATTATTTCACAATTCAAATTTTTATAACTACAAATTTTAGCTAATACGGAAATATAATGAATTATTTAAAAATTAAAGCTATTCAAGCAATAAACAAAAACTATTATTCAAAACAGTCTTTTGTTAATTACTCGAAATCTACTTGAAATAGCCAAGTCTCGCAAATTTTTTAGGGATCTGCAAGAAAATGTGCTTCTTTTAATTTAAAAGAAATTAATAAAATTGAAAAAAGTTAATTAAAATAAAATAATTATATTATATAGGATGCACATGTGCACTGCAGCTCTCTATTTTCCTGTTATCCAGTAATTTTCCGAGATGTTCGCAATCCGGCTATTCCGGATGGCACGGTCGTAAACTGTCTCTTTTTTTTATACAGGCTCCACTTCTAAGCATCCGAAAATTGCCAGATGCAAGAGACGAAAGCTATCGTTCACGACATTTTTCCTTTCTCAGCTGCACGCGATTTCTAATCTCAATTTACGAGCTAAACGTGTGGCCTGTTTTTCTTCCTCTTTTTTTCATTTTTGAGCCGTCGTTACATATTATGCGTGCGTGTGTGTGTGTGTGTATGTATGTGTGTGTGTGTATATATTTTTTTCTTTTTTTCAGTTTTCGTAAAGAAACATCCAATCAAATTGAACTGGGCTCCGAAAAATCGTGCGAATATTCGCAGAACCATGAGCCAGAAACAGCAATGCGAGCAGACAACTCGGTACCTTCATTAATAATTTAGTTTAATTTTGTTATATCGGAAAGTTTGTTTTGTTTCCTTATTACACTTATTACACGTTAATTATGTCAAGTATATTTTTTTAAATATTTTAAAAATGAATAATCAATATGTATTATTTGATCACAAACTATGCCTAAATTATGCTTGATCAATCAAGCTCAGTCGTTTTAATTCAGAACATGCATTGCTGATGCATGTCCATTCCCAAGCACAGTCCATATTTGAATGGACATGCATGAACCGTGTATGGATTGAATGCACTCTCGGCAAGGGCAAGTACAAGGTTTACACTAGGCCGATAGGTTGGCGAGCGAGGGGTTAGCGAGAGAACGAAGGTGGCAAACCAGCGGAAAAAGCGTGGAAGACAGTGTGCGCCGAAGGCCCACGACTGCGGCGGCGGTGGGGAGCGAAAACACCAAGGGTGTTGTATGGGCCGCTCGAGCAGCAAACACAGGGACAGTCAGTCATGAGGCAACTCTCACTTAAACTGGTCGCTCTCGAAACAATCACTCATACAAAGTTTTCTTGTAATATTCGTTCGCCAAATACATTTTTTTTTTCACTCTCCTCGTCATCATCTTGAACAGTTCTATTAGTTTAATAATTTCAAACTACTATTCTCACCTTACCTTAATTGAAATCGGATGAAATATAAAAAGTAATACATATTGAACATAGGACTTATATAAAATATAATATTTTATTTATTCGTAATTTTCACAATAAAGCTAAAAATGTTATGAATTTTTATTTAACAGTTTATTAGATTATCTCGTTGAACTTCAATTAGACAAACAGTAAAAATTTTTAATTATTTAGTTGAGTGTTAGCATCAGTTAAAAGAACATAGGATACATCCATCAATTTTTTTCTTTTTATCGAACCATCTGCATCTTTGTCAATTTGAAGTAAATTTTGGAGCCTATTAAATCCCTCAATTGCAACCACAGGGCATATCAGTCTACCTCCAGGTGCTAATTGTTCGACAAGCTGCAATCATAAAAACTTTCTAATGTGATGGCTCAAAATAGAAAGGCTCAAAAGTTAAATTTGTTACTTTACCTCCTGAGGTAGTGAATTTGCAGCTGCACCAACATGAATAGCATTGTAAGGCCCATCATCAGCTACTCCCAATCTGCCATCTCCCTCTAAATTCATTTATAACAACCACTTGTTAATCTTCGTCTTATCTTTTCATTTTTGTTAATTTCAATTTCCCGCGATATCTGTTTTTATCTTATTGTTAGCGATGGAAATAATTTTTGTTACAGTAGTTTTCTCGCACTGCGTCCTTAATATAGTTTGCTACATAATTTCCATTGTAGTTTGCATACTTTACTTCTTTTATTTTTATCTGTATAGGGCATTCGGAGGTGAGATTTTCGACACATTAACGCGCGAAAGACTTCTATAGCAGTAGTTTTTAGTGTAACCAAAATCTAAGCAACGAGTAGATTGGGGATATCTCCTTTTTTGCGCGGCGGTTCAAAATTAATGATTTGATTCTGTAGTCTTGTGATTTCAAATTTTTTTCTATTACTATTTTTTAAATTTTTATAATCCTTTAAAGAATAACCGAAGGGATTGTTTTGATATTCTGAGCTTGACGTTCGTGATTCTAATACCAGTAATTAATATTTCAAATATAATTTTAATAATACAATTATATGATTCAATTTCTGTATTTATTTTATTTATATTGATTGATGGATGCATATGAGGCCATACTTTCCATATGCGCAGGCAGTAAACAATAATATTTACATAATACAAGAAGAACTCAAACAAACATACTCATAGTCAGCTGGAAAATATGATACTCGTAATGCTACTAATGAACACAATAAATACCACGCTTATCTGATTACAACGTTAATAAATAATATTAAATAAACGGAGAAACTAAAACAGTTGTACGAAACGCAAACGAATTAATCCAAAGAAGTTATGAACTAACAAAATTTCCAATAAACAATAATATTGATATAATATTGATATCCTAAACCTACTTATGCACATAAAAATCTTTTAAATACACCGCATATTCTATGTATGATACAAATCACCCTGACAAGAAAGAACAGGGTAGAACAACAATTATTATTCAAAATACCATTAGATACCATGTACCTCACAAATATAATTATCTACAATCTATAAAAAAGGTATATTTATGCTATCGAACATATGCTGTCCTTTGAGATACTATATAATAAAAGAACAATAAAAAAACTACTTTGACAGCTTAGCGCATCAATATCTTACAGAACGTGACTATAATGAGAAACATCCATGTTGGGGCTCAAGGTCAATAACTTCAAATCCAAAAGAATCTAATCTATTCTCATATTCAGTAATGCAAATAGAAAATCTAATTCCAATATCTACAGGTAAACCTACCTATATTGTTCTCCCAATTCAAAATTACCTGAATTCAATGACTTTGCAATTGTCAAAAAATTATATCCTAAACTATATCCTTATATAAACTATATCCTAAACTATATCCTAAATTATATCCTTAAGACTAATAGTTAAATCATATCCACAGTTAACTTAAGACCATTCCTTAATAATTAAACTTTATTTTTCAAAAATAAAAATTAATAGAAAAAGTAGTTTTCCCGATAATAACGAAATAAACTGAGATACATACAGAAAAATATAAAACGATAACTTAACATATGAAATACCTTCAAAACAAGTTTAAACATGGATACCGCAATAGTAAATTTACATAAAAATGTTTATAAAGCGATCAGTAATACAACCTCTGTCAAAAAAAGTTTTAGAAAAATTAAAATGAAATAGACAATTAAGAAAAATATGGCAACATAATAAATCAAAATTTGATAAAACAAATTACAATCGATCAATTCAAGAATTAAAAACAATTCTCCACGAAAAAAAATCAAGAATAAAATTTTTTTTTTTAATTTAACCGCCGCTGAGGCCATTCACTCTAAAAAACAAAACATAAATCGCTTTAATTCCAACGGTTTGTTCCTCTCATACTAAAAATCGAAATGATACGGGTAAAAATAGGCATGGAAAAAACTTTTGCTAAGCACTTAAAAAACGTATTTAAGCCTCATTAAATAGTACAACAAAAAAAGAAGAATTAACCTTGCTTACTGATACATGAACAGCTAACTGAAATAAGTATATAGACAATAACTTGACAGTAAAAGAAATAAACCATTTAATAGCAAATCTAAAAAAACGAAAAGAACTCCTAACACGATAACATAAATGGAAAATTATAATTAATGTAATAATCTGATTAACATATTTTCCACTCAATAGAAAATAGCAACAACAATATTAATTGCAAAAACAGGAAAAAAATGTTAAAAGTACAATAAAAATAATATTTTAAAAGATTAAATAAAATATCAATAGAACAAAATATTATACCTAAGCACCAATTTGGATTTGATAATAAATATTCGTCAATAGAACAAATCAATAGAGTGACCGATAAAACTAGATAAACCTTTGATAAAATAAATGTTGTACTGCAGTATTTCTTGATGGAACTCAAACCATCAACAAATTTAGCATAAAAGCCTATAATTCAAGTTCAATAAAATCTTACCTAAAAATCTTTATTTACTCTTAGTTTTATATTTAAGCTGTAGGACTTTTAAAGTAAAAGTAAATAATGAAATCATACTAAATTATGTCTAATAGAAGCCGGTATCCCCCAAGGTAATGTTCTCAGTTTTTTATCATATTTGTATATAATATACACCTGTATTTACACCTGTAATTTCTCAACCACGGAAGATATAAGTATCGCCACTTATAATGTCGCAGATGATACAGCAACATTAACCTCACATCCTAATGTAATACAAGAGTCTCTGCAAATATGGAGAAATATCTGAAAATTGCACAACTACGGTTAGAAAAATAGAAGATTCCAGTTCACATAAAAATTAACCAATACCGCAAAGAAACAAAGCTAAATACCTAGAAAGGTACTTACAATTAGATCACAGATTAATATGGCGAGATTATATTTGGTCCAAGCGAAAAACGTAACATATAATTACGAATATTTTTTCGTTATTAGGCAAATAGAAACTTTCAAATAATAATAAATATATTAATATATAAGTGCATAATTAAACCAATATAGACTTATGGAATCCAATTATGAAGCACGGCAATAAAATCAAACGTAGATGTTATTGAAAGATTTCAAAATAAAGCCCTAAGATCCACTATAAATACGTACAGCGTGATTCGTTACAAATGAGAAAATTAGGAAAGACATCATGACAACTGTAAAAGAAGAAATAGAAGGTACAAGCAGAGAGTATACAAACAGAATATCTGATCATCCAAATCGTTTAATGAAGACTTTGTTTCATATACAACATCAACTATTTTAAGATTTTAAAAATATAAAACACCTTCTGTAACAACTCTAATATTAGTATTGTAATAATTTTATTTATAAATATAATGCAAACATGTACGATATGGTACGAATCACTGGAGCAGTACCTTCATGTATAATTTTATCAACAATTATATTCTTATAAAATTTACTAATTGTGGTTTTATAGACAAATTATAAATATAGGTGGTTGAAAAAACAAATATTTTCATAACAGCAAAGGAGTAAGATTCATGATCTTGGAATACGTGAAATTACGATTCTGAACTGTTGGCTGCTTAAAATTAACGTTTATGAGTTTGAAGTCGGTGGGCTTTGAGATTAAAAGATAAAAACGACTAATTGATACTTCAGTTAAAAATAAAGCGCTTATTTTGGTCTTCAGTTATTTGCTAATTAAATATAACTATATCTTTTGTGTAACTTAAAGTTAAGAAATTTAATCAAAGGTAACGCAGTACTATTCATACAATAATTCTAAACTTTGTCTTTGCTTCAGAAGTTTTAACTACAGTAAACAGTTTTTCTGGTAACGACTTATATAAATTTATGTAAAGTCAACTAAGAAAAATACCGAAATAAAGGAAAATCCACGGAACCTTTAATTTCTTTCAAAGTGAAATTAATTTTTCTACTTCAACATGATACTAGACCACTAACAATAAAAAATTACTCACGTTACTCATTTGTATGAAGTCTTTACTGTATTACCACAGAAAAATTTTTAAATTTACTATTCAACTGAAAAAAAATAATTTCTCTTGTTTATATAGTGATAGTAAATATATAAATAGTTGGTAGTTTGATACTTGTTACCTGATTATAAAATTACAACAATTAAAATGTTAGTTAGCATCCAATTACTTCAAGCGATCAAATATATAAACAAAAATGAAGTTCTTAAATCAGTAGTACGCACCAATTTGTACGACAATACCATAGATGTTCGACTTTTCAACATTTTTTTAATTGAATTTCTTTTTTGCTGATTTATTTACAATAAAAGTTCAAGAATATGATTAATATAAAGTTCGTTTATATTAATCATATTCAAATCATGTCATAATTCAATAATTTTTCCAATATGGTTTTTAATATTCAAAAATTTCTTCAACCAACAAGGCTTTACAATTTTCGTAGAACTCAAAATCTTCTGTAAAGAATTTGGTTGTAGACTTTTATAATGAGCATACATAAATTACAGGATGTTTTGACTTTTAAGATTCAAAATTAGAGGTGTGCCTATAAAAATAATATAATTTAAAAAAAAGTTAAGCAGGTATATTTAAAAATATATAAATATCTAAAATATATAAATTTAAAAATACCTTCTAGCTTCATGATTTGTCATGGCACATAAATTTTAAAAGCACAATTGTTTTTTGTTTGACAGAAATCTATGTTCTTGTAAAATTGAAATTATAAATTTTAAATATTTCAAAAAGTTATACATGAAAATATAAAAAAAATTAATAATTCAAAACGAAGTATAGCTCATTGAAGTGTTAATAACGATAAGGAGTTAAACGATACACTAATACGAGTGTAGCACCTTCAAAAGTCATAATTAGAGGAATATTTCCTGAAAGGTTCAAATCGATTCATGATGGCTTCAAAAAATTAGTCGAAAAAAAAATCAAAGAATTGCTTAAAATAATACGATTTCTCAATAAATTTATTTTTTTTTTAATTTTTGAGAAACAGCATATAATTTTTAGACAATAAAATGTCATTAAATTA